AATGACAAAAGTTTGACAAAAGAGTGGTGCACAAGAGATGGCAATGGTGGTTGACAAGCTGCAGCAACTGCCGTTTTTTTCAGATTGCTGGAGGACCACCGAAGTGGTCCGGCCGAGTTATGTGCACTCATCGGCTTGCGGGGATGCTTGCAACTTGGAGAACATGGAGGTTTGTGGAAGGTAAAAAAAGTACAGGGGTGAGGGATTATTTGTTAGGAAATTGGGAGCAGCGAGACCTTTCTAAACGGTCAGGATAGAAATTGTTTTTTTCATGAGAACTGCACGGCCTGGGAAGAGCGAGGGTGAAATGGATATGGTGCAGTTCGAGTAAAGCTGTCAGAAACGTAGTTTAGAAAAACAATATCTTTGTTCCGGCCTCAAATTCGAAGTTTTGATAGCCTCACAAGTGAGTTCACTGATGGAAATGAAATAAATAAACAACATAGAAATATGCGAGATGGTGGAAAAGAACGTACAATGTACAAAAAAAATTATACAGACTTTGATGGCACATGATGAATTACTTTCAGAATAACAACTGCTTCACCGAGAAAAATTTAGAACTAATCCTTCTTCGTCATGCACGAGATGGCGTAGTTTATCACAGTTATCCTGCAAAGAAGACATTTTAATAATCAAGATCAAGGACAGCTAGGAAATACTCAGATGAGGAATTCTGGAGCTTTATGCGCTACAGCGAAGTTTTCCTGACCTAATCTGCCCTCAAATCAGGCTACAGCATTTTGAGTAAAGTTTCTTTTAGCCAACAAAACTAATATATGATATTTGGGAAAGATGAAATAGAAATTACTTCTGTTGAAGATCGTGCTTCGGCCAACGATTCTAACTTTTTAATTAACGTATGGATCATATTTTGAGAATGTGCTGGGGAAACATCAGCCAATAACTGCCGAGCATTCTCGTAATATTTCGTGTGCATGGCTACCTAAATTCTTGCCAAGTAAATATGCAAAAATAGCATAAAGATCCAAATGATTTGGATACTATTTTAGCCACTGCATACTTTTGTGTAGTCTCCATTCATACTATCCCATTTGATAGAGGCTATTCTCCAGCCTTTCATCGTTAACTCCAATGTATAGGGTTGGTCTAAAATAAATTTTGTGTCATCTTTACTAGTCATTGCTATAATGACTAAAAGCCAATCGCTTCAGAAGTACCTTCAACTGTCCTAATGTTCAGAAATATTAAATCCGCAGTACGGGGGAGCATATCGGATACTGCAATTGATTTCACATCATTTGCGAGCTCATGAACTGCAGCTATAGCTTCCAACTCCAGTGGACTGCCTTCTCCCGTATTAATTCCGCCGTTCTCTGCGTGCCTTTTTCGATTTGCCCTTCCTATTTCTACCAGCGATAAGGGAGTGCTGAAAATGTTCCCCTACCAAACGCCATAAATCAGATCTTATTTGGTGTAAGGGTCCCTGAGAAAAATTAGACTTTAAGATAAGCCAGATTTCTTAAACGTCTAAGTTTGCAAGTAAGGTAGGAAGGTAGCAAAGCTGTAAAGCTGAGAATCCTGCAGTAACTACATTTTTTAGAAACCATCGGTTCGATGTTTACTGTAATTAAGGAATTTTTTTCTCGAAGCTGTATTACAAAACGACTGATGGGCCGTCACATGAAACCTCTACATCCTTCAGAACTTTTTAATTATCTTGGAGAGTGCAGGTGCAGAGCGTTGATCAAAAAGCAGCAAAAAAAAACTTCGGCTTGATTCTTTCAAATCCTACAATTCACAAATTTAGAAAAATTTGTGCGTTTAAACTAGCAACGGTACACTGGTTTCAAATGGATGTCTGCTAATAATATTGCCTAAATGACGTCCTGTGAAACTGCTACTGCGTCACAGTCAAAAACCATTTCTTTGAAACTGTAGAGATTTACCTGGATGGATGGCAACGGAAGTGTCAAAGAAGTTAGATTTAAATTATTAATCTATACTGGTGAAATGAAGGTTGTTAAGCGGATTCTGATTGTTAAACGGTGAAGCCGAGATTGGACTGAGCACAGTTTAGAATTTCAGTTCGTCAGAGACCGCTTCTTTAACGAACACAGTTACGCTACAGGCACAGAAGAGATTCGTTTCAATGAATGAGCTAATTTAGTAAAAAGATCTGGGTGCTCAAAACCGGACGATGCAGTATTAAGCTACTAATAGTTAGAGAAGAGAATGCTTGTTTGAGGAAGCGTCAACAATGGCGGGCTGACATAGCATAACTTTTCTACGGCACAATGTTCATCGACATCCCGGCACGTGCCAGATCTATAACTGCAAAAAATCCTTCAACCTACTATTCCACACTTATCACTGGTAGGTCCGGGGTATCTGGTGTTGCTACATATATTTGCAATGTACTATATTAGTTAATTATTTGGAAACTCATTTCAGGTCCAAAACGCTATTAATC